TATTCTTATGTTAATCCCCATACATTACATCATTAGTTTTAGATGAAGTGTTCCATGCTTCATTGTTTGTGCGTAACACCCACCAGGCTAACCCATCGTCCCACCCCCCTCCCCTCTAGAACCCTCAGTTTGTTTTTCAGAGTCCATCGTCTCTCATGGTTCGTCTACCCCTCCGATTTCCCCCGCTTCATTGGGAAGGCATTTATTTTAAAGAGTGTTCAGAGGAAGTCTCTCTGAAGAGGTGGCACGTGAGCAGGGGCCTGAGTGACGTGAGGGAAAAACCTGCACCAGGATGCGTGGGAAAATCACGCAGTGAAGAGCAGCACACAGCTCTGGGGTGGGAAGTATCGGTGTTTTCCACCAAGGGCAGAGAGGCCCGTGGCTGGTGCTCAGGGCACCAGGAGTGAACAGAGACAGAGGCAAGATGGCGCAGGGCTTTGTAGTCCACGGAATGGCTCTGCATGTTATTCTCAGTGTGATGGAAGCCGGGGGCTTGTGAGGCATCTAAGGTACTTTTTAGAAGGACCACTCTGGCTAGTGTCTGGAGAACAGAGGACAGAGGGCGGGAGCAAGAGCGGGAGGCCAGCAAGGAGGCTGTTGCTACTGATCATCCAGATGAGTGTTGGCAGTGTCTGGGCCAGAGGGGCTGGCGATGGAAGTGACCAGAAGTCAAATTTGGGATGCATTTTGGAGGTTAGGATTCACAATGTAACTCCTCACTGCTAGATCCTCTATGCCTCTAGGCTCCCTTTGAAGTGTATTCATTCTATTTAATTCACTTTCCTTAATTATTTGGCACATTTTTGTAGTTTTTTTTAAACCCTTGTCACCTCCCTAAGACTGTGATTCTCTAGGACTACGTCTTGTTTGTTCTGTGTCACTCCACACATATGGATGTATCTGGCACACAGTAGGTGCCTAGTAAATGTTGAATGGATGAAGCTGAGGTCCTTGTAGCATGGTGATTATGAGCATTAGTCAGATTTCCCGGGTTCAAATCCTGACACCCTCCAGCTGTGTGTGAGATTGAGGCAGCCTCCATGGCCCAGTGCTTCGGGCTTGTCACTGACGAAATGGGGATAATCATAGTGCCTGCTTTTTGTGAAGATTAAGCTAATAAACATACAGGGTGTAGAAGTGTGCTTCACACATCGTAAGCACTGTTTATTGAAATTAAACTAAAGTTGAAGTTAGAAGGCCTCAATTTTTACTATCACCCAGAGAAATATCTTCTTGGTGCTTTCAAAGTTCTCCCTGAGACATGGGCAACTGTACTTTTCCACAGAAAGTTTTGAGTAAAATAAAATAACTGTTCATCACTTTATTTTTTAAATTTTTTTTCTTACTTTAGTCAGATGACTTTTTCTTAATTCTGTTTTATTTTTTTCTAAGATTTTATTTATTTATTTGAGGGAGAGAGAGAGAGAGCATGAGCTGGTGGGGAGGGGCAGAGGTAGATGGAGAAGCAGACTCCCCGCTGAGCAGGGAGCCCAAGGAGGGGGGCGGGCTGGATCCCAGGACCCTGAGATCATGACCTGAGCCGAAAGCAGACGCTTAACGGACTGAACCACCCAGGCGCCCCTGTCCATCACCTTAGAAAAGATTTATTCAATTTGTTAATTTCTAGAGAATTGGCACACATCTAGCAACCTGGTTTTATAGGATGGCCTCTGTACATCTCCCTCCCATGAGGTATCCCCAAATTTCATGAACATATCCAGCAGTAGTAGATCACTCACTTGGAATAAACTGCCCCCCGCCCCCGGCCCCGACTTCCAAGCCCTATATAGAATCTAAAATAAAAATCTCCCCTTCTACTCAGCCTTTCTGTCTGGTCAAATCTGCGGCTTCTCCCAACCTTGTCCCATTTCCCCTGAGCTCTCAGGCCGAGGCGTCTGGGGAGGTGTCTCTGGACTGTACCAGGTCTGGCGGGGCTTGGCTTTCTGACAAGCATACCATTAAAGACCCCAGAGAGTGGGCCCAGGAATGTGCGCCTGTTCTATTCCTGTCCCCACTTCCTTTCCAGTAAAGGGCAGGCCGAGTTGTTACTGGCTGCTGAGGGCTACTAATAGACACACAGGCCTCGGGGAAACTGTGTGTCCCAGATGGGGATAAATCAGGATCAGCCTCTGCTGTACAAGAGTGGAGTGAGATTTAAGAGAAAAACAGTGTATTTTTTATGCTCTTGCAGCTATATCAGATGCGATATATATTATATATTCTGGCTTTGGTATGTTCCCCTTCTCTCCCCACCAGCCAACATTCATTAAAATGTTCCATCGTCCTACATCACATAATTGAGCTCATGGATTAAAGCAAAGGTGATTTCCCCCTCCCAGTCTGTGAGAGCTCAGGCCTCAGGCTTCATATACACACAGACTGGCCTCGGAGTTCTGCTAACCCAGGCCCGTCCCTGGGCAGTGGCTGGCAGGGCTGTGAATCCTAATTCACCAAGGCAATTTTAAGAGCACAGTGTAAAAAGGGAATCCTAGGGAAGCGAATAGTAGTGGCTGCATTTTGAATTTTACCCACCATGAGAGCAGCGCGGGAGCTCAAAGGAAAATCGTGAGATGCCACTTATAAACGGTCTATAAATACATATGTGCAGCATGCCCTTCTTCGACGTACTGAGTAGGGTTCAGTTTTCTGGGCAGATGGACTTGAAAACAAATACCCTAGCTCCTGATTATAGCTTTGGGAAGTTTTTTTTCTAAACCTTTAAATAACTCTGAGCTATTTGCATTATGAGTTGTCCTGACAATGAGGTTTGAGGGGAGACACTGCAGGATTTCCTTCCCTGGAGCCTTCAGGAACAGGAATGAGGGTGTTCTGCCCTGCAGTGTTTGGGTGTGGTATTTCTTGGAGGGTGAAGGTAGACAGCCCCTCTCGTGAGGGGAGCAGAAGCCCAGTCTTGCGGCACCACACCCACAACACTCCGTAACCTTCTGTGTGCTATACTCTGGAAGGTTCTGGCTGTGTCCCGAAACCTCGGCACTATGGGTAAGCGCGCTAGATCCCTGCTTCTCTCCACAGTCCTTGAGGGAGCCCACCTGCACAGATCAGCAGAATCACCTTAGAACCCATTTTTATTTTCTTTTTTATACCACTTTTGTATGGATGATGCATTTCCTAAATTTGTCCCTTGCTGGGCAGTGTGACTGTAGTGTTTATTTCTCGACGCTCATCTTGTTGAAAGGACTCCTTTGTCCAAGCGTCTGGGGACTTGGTCATGCATTTGGATTTGCCTTATACATACTGGTTATGACATACAGCCTCCCAAGGTCCTTCTGTGTCTGACGTCCCTGGGCAGGAAAGACCCAGGGACTAAAGGACAAGACTGCTGAACCTCCACCACCCCTCTGGTAGGACCCCTAGTCACTGCTGCTGGAAACTCTGTGTTCTTTTTCCTTAGGACGGTTTTTATATAACACAAGGAAAAGCATAGAGCGTATAGATAAAGGGCTTATTGGAGCAACAAAAAATGATGGAGCCAAGTCACCAGCTATCATAAGAGTAGAAACCACAGCACTGATAGACACAGTGGTTCTTAAGCCCTTTTGAGGCTATATACATGCTTCTGAGGCTCAAAGTCACAAATACTCCTTATTGGGAAAAAATGCACATTTAATCTGACAGAAAATTTCAGGGGGTCCAAGGAACCCACCCTACCCTAGTGTTCTATATTTTTCAAATACAGACATTCTCACATACATTTTATTTTTGACCCTTACACATGACCCTGCTGGGCTGATATTACTATTAGCCTCATTTTCAGAGGGTACTGAGGCTCAGAGCAGTGGATTGCCTAAGGTCACTTAGTAAGCAAATTGGGGAGGCTTTGCAAGGTTAAATCCACATTCTTTCCACTGTGCCCGATTGGTCTGTGTGATCTGAGTGGCCATCTCCACAGGGATTACAAAGACCAAGCAAGCCCAGTCTCTATTCCTGTGTTCAGACTTAGTGTGGTGTGTAATTCCTGAGTGCAGGTGGCCCGAGATTGAGCTCCTGGAGGCCACACCACGCCTGAAGGGAGGGTTGCCTTACCCAAGATGGATGGTCCGTATGTGTTTCTGGATCCCCGCCGCAGTGCTCAGCACCTTCCCACAGTTCTTCCACAGGCATTTGAACATCACCTTCATAGAATTCTGTAAACGGGAGAAAGTTACATTAAAATGAAAACTAACCCACCCATATTTTCTGTCATCCCAACACATTTTCTCCGCCTTCGTTAGAAAGGAACAACTTGGGCGCCTGGGTGGCTCAGTCGTTAAGCGTCTGTCTTCGGCTCAGGTCATGATCCCAGGGTCCTCGGATCGAGTCGTGCATCAGGCTCCTTGCTCAGGGGGGGGCCTACTTTTCCCTCTCCCCCTCTCTTCCACTTGTGCTCTCTTTCTCTCAACTAACTAACTAAATCTTAAAAAAAGAGAAAAGTAACAATTTGGGGTGCCTGGATGACTCAGTCAGTTAGGCGTCTGACTTGATTTTGGCTCAGGTCATGATCTCATGGTCGTGGGATCGGGCCCTGCGTTGGACTGGGTGCTCAGCGGGGACTCTGCTTCAGATTCTCTTCCACTCCTTCTTCCTCTGCCCCTCTACCTTGCACTCTCTCTCTTTCTCTTCCTCCAAAATAAATAAATAAATATTTTTTTAAAAAAGGTAACAACTTCCCATCATCTTGAGTATAACTCAGCATACCATTCTAGGGAGCACCCTCCTCCCTGCCAGCTGGTGAGGATCTTGGTGATCTCAGGCATTTTTCTGCATCCTTCATGGATACTAAGTTGCCCTGAATATTTAGTTCACTTTTATTAAGGTGGTCACAGTGTCATTTAGGCGTTAATGACGGTAACTAACATCAATTGAGCACTTACCATATGCCAAGTGCTGTTACGAAAGTTTACCTCATTTAATTCTAAGAGATAGATGCTATCATTGCCACCATTTTATTTTATTTTATTTT